GAAAATTAACTCTATCCCAGCCGAAACCAGGACACCTAGTCAGCACTGTCTTTTTGAGATCAATGCCTTTTGCTCAAATTAAAAGGAGGTTAATCATGTTAGTTAGCAGCTAAAATTTTTAAAAATGAGTACCAGTGTCAAAAGTTAACATCTGAATTTTGTGTGCCTTTTTTACTTAGGAATCCAAATGAGTAACTTTTAGAAAAAATATCAAAGCCTAAAATACCTAACCATCACAGTTAGTGGGAAAGTTGGGGGGGATTCTTGGTTTTGTCTTTTAAAAGTGAAAATTGGCCTTTTCTCTTCTTTTCATTTGGAAATGCAAAGCTACAGAAATGTCCCTGGAGAACTAGTAAATTTGAACAAGTAACAACGGAGTCCATACGCATTAATGTGTGTACTAGCTAAAATGAACAAATGTACCTGTTGCAAAAACATGTTACTGGTGCTGTAGTTAAAATGGAAATATTTTTCCAGAGGAGAAGAGGAGAATAAAGCAGATGTTCCTGTTGATAGTCCTGTTTGTAGATGTCAGGCTCATCTTCTCTGGAATAGACCACGCTTTGGGGAATTAAATGATCAGAACCGAATGCGCCAGTACATCAAGTCTTTAATGAAAGTGAGTGCCTGTTGCCTGTAGGTTTTTTGGCTTCTGTGATAGATGTGTGTATTGTTTTATTTGCAGTAATTATTTATGGAATTTGTTTCTCCCTTGCTAAAGGACTTGCTCACAAATTATATGTGATTTACATCAGCAGATGCAAGTTATATTTTGTCATGAAAACCTTGGTATTACTTTTTTTAAATTGTAAGCAGCCATTTTTGCATAGGAATTTGTAGCAGCTCTGTGTATTTGTTAGAAGGAATATTGGTAGTTGAATAAAGACACCCAATACATTTTTGTGCAAACTTTTTCTGACCTAAAACAAGGGGATTACATGAACATTTCTTACACTATTCTGTTCTGCTTGAAGTGGTTATATTAATCACTGTATCTCCCAGTCCTTATTTGATATGGAAGTGCATAAAGTGGGGAAAAAACATCACCAAAATGTCTAGAAACTTTTTCATCTGGAATAGGAATAACAATGACTTTATTTTCTGTAGGTTCTGAAAACAGATAGTGTTTGCCTTTGTATCAGCGATGGCAGTCTGCTGCCTGTGCTGGCTCACTATCTTGGAGCAAAGCAGGTACAGTACTTCTTCCTGTTTTTCTGGTCGTTGCTTTGTAGCTTGGTATTTTTAGTTCTCATATAGATCAGCATTTCCAGCCCATTATTTAATTATTTCCAGTGCCTCTTCAGTGACAAGTGAGAAAGAGGCTCCTATTGTGTCGAAGTGCACGTTAAATTCATCTCTGATCAAGCTGAAGTCTAGGGAGATAGTAATTCCCAGTTTTGATATCTACCAATGTGTAGTCTTGAATGAAAGTGGTGTTTCCTCATTCCCCACTGATTCCTGTTTGCCATCTTGCATGCTTTTGGAAATACTCTTTCTACCAACCTAAATGTCTGGCAATTTTTGTTCTTCTGGTATGTTTGCAATTCCATAATTACATTTATTATCTAGTCTGAAGTGGAAGGTCTGTAACAGCAAGATAGGAAGCAGTAAGAATACTGAGTCTGTGCGTGAATGAAAGCCGAGAGCTGCCTGCCTGTCTCACTTATGTGTATCACCTTACTTGGTGTGTTCTCTCACGGGGCTCTTCAAACTAAAATCTATTACAGTCGGACTGAATATCGGGAATGTGTAATGTAATATAATCCTGAGGAAGATGCTAGGCAATTTGTAAAAATAAACAAACATGCTGAGCTAAACCAGTGATCCCTGGCCCCTGTGGTTTTGCCTTTAGTAGTAGCTAGTCACCGATGACTACTGAGGAGAGAGGAAATTAATAGGGCAGACAGAGATTTCCATAATATTTTCCTAGCCCTGTAGCAGCATATTGCCTGACTATTCACCAGTTTTGAATAAAGCCTCATTTTTTTTTTTATTTCAAAAGGCTGGTGTGCTGCATTGCACATCTGAGCTCTTTCCAGATGATACAGTCAGATTGTGTTAAATAATGCTTACAAGGAGTAAGCACTACTGGAGGTTGAGTTAGCACACTGGCAATATGCTTGCATTTGTTCAGGAGAAATATATGCCTGGGCCAAATGTTAATACGCTATGTGCATCTTAAAAATGGAAAATAAATATTTGCATTCTGTTGGGTTTTTTCTCGTATGGCTCTGAAAACAGCAGTATTTAGCCTGTAGTTATCGGGGGTGTTTGTCTTGTTAAAAAGGTACATGACAGTGGGCTGTGGAATAGATGCATGGTTCCTACAAACAAGTTCACTAGGGCATCAAAATAGTTCCTTCACTGTTCATTTACATATTCTTTTAATTAAAAATCATAAAGTTAGTTTGACCAACTGTTGTGTATTTTCTTTAGGTGTTTACATTAGAAAATTCTGCTGTGTCCTGTTCTGTCATGAAAAAAGTGAGTACTCAGTTTTCTGTTAAAGCAGCAAATGAACTCATGGCATTTCTAAGGCCAGAGCTGATGCCTTTGATTGTCCTTGCATCGATTGCTTGGGGGTTAAATCAGTTTAATGAATGTATTTGATCATACAGTTTGACAAGACTGTGGGAGGTGGAATATGTTGGGGGGGAGGAGTTCTTATTTTTTCCTGGTATTTGTACAGAGCTTTATGCAGATACTTCGAGGAATACATCCCATTGGAGATATATCCAATCTCATGGCTTTAGCCCCAGGCTGAATAGGCCACTGGGGTAGTTGAGCTGAGCAGAGGGACTTACGGTTGCCAGTGCTTCATCTCTCCTTGCCAGATGCCTGTTGGCTTGTCTGCTTGAGCTGCTGCTCTGCTGCCCTCATTGCATTGGTGATAAAAGTCAAGCTATTTGTTTCTGAGGATTAGTGGAATGTGAGAGCATCCCACAGCTTGCCCCAGTCTTACTGGGAAAGTGGCATCTAGCAGTTCTGTCTTCCAGCAGAGACAAGTTGGGAATGCCTGCTCTGCTGTTTGGCTCTTAGGAGACAGTAGGCAGTGGGTCTTAACTGCAAGCGATGTTTCACCTACTTCCTTGGGGTAGAGCACAGAAGGCCCTGCCAGTGGACTGGAGGCTGTTCAGAAGAGGCAGCTAATGTCTAAGAAGTGACTGGAAGCAGCTTCCTAAAGTCATCGTTTGGCTGTGTCTGTTTTAGTTGGCACTATGTATTTGAAAGAGGTCTATCTCAGCCTGTGGCTTAGGAGTACAAAAACCTGAACAGTAGGCAAATTAGGACACAAACTTGGTCTCAGACAGAAGCCAAATATGCAATGTATTTGTAGTTGAAGTAATTTTTATCTTTCTTGGCTGTCCTTCCCATATGCTTCAAAGTACAAATGAATGAAGGTGAGGCAACTTCTGTGTTACCTGCCTTTTTATATGCTTAATTGAAGGAATACATAGGGCATGTGTCACTAGGTGCACCCTTCAAGAATAGACTTGTATCATCCTGATGAGTTATAGTAGGCAGATTTTTAAAAACTTCTTTTGCCTATCGGTTTCTTTATTTTTAAATAAAATTATTATTTTGGTATGGGTTTGAGTCTCAACTATAGATTTTGATAAAGACAGTATGCTACTTTTTTTTTAGTTTTTTAAAGCAAACCATCTTGAAGATAAAATTAAAATAATAGAAGCACGTCCTGAATTGCTGATGTCTTCTCATTTGGAAGATAAAAAGGTGTGTTACAGTTATCCAATACTGAATTTCAGTGGGGTGGTGGGGAGCAGAAGGTGAAAATGAATCTTGCTTTCCTACTGTGCTACTGTAACCACAATGAATCCCATTATATCCGAGTTCATATAAAATGTAATGAGTAGACGGTTCAGACCTTGGCCCACTAAAACTAAATGAGACTAAAGACTGTGAGAGGATTTTCCCTTTGTTTCTAAAAGGGTATGACTTTTCCCTTGCTGCATAATCTACACCAGTTGTTAAGGCAGTTAAACTGGTTTAACTGCATATGTGCTACTAGGCTGTAGCTCTTCTTTCTCAAGCCACTCTTCTCAAGCCACTTGGAAGATTGCAGTCTATTTGGAAGTACTAATATCCTTAAATTAAACATTTCAAAATTCTGTGGCTCTCATTACAAAGCCTTCCAACCTAAAACTGCAATATCTTCTCTCAAACTTTGTTGCAGGAAAATTAATTTTAAAATTTACTAACTAAAAACACTAAAAGATGTCTGTTGTGCACTATATGCAGTATGCAGTAATTAAATCTTTATGAAGCAGTAGAAGTTTTTATCTAGATGACTTCACTTGCTGTATTGCATTGTCAACTACTGAAGATATAAACAGCCTATGTTATTGAGTTGTTGTTATTTTATAATAATGCTTTTTATCTCCTTTCTTTGCCAAGATTTCTGTTCTTGTGGGAGAGCCATTTTTTACTACAAGTTTGTTGCCGTGGCATAACCTGTATTTCTGGTATGCTAGGACAGCTGTGACCAATCACCTTACCAGCAATGTCACTGTTCTACCTCAGTCTGCTTCTTTGCATATGATGATTGTGGAGTTTCAGGTGAGATTGTTTAGAACTATCCATTTGATATTTACACAAATCCACTTAAAATTGAGTATTCTTCCAGGATTTTTTAACGGCAAGTTTATCTCATCTTAATATTGTCCACTTCAATATGTTTTGTGCTTACCACCTGAGAAAAGAATATTTGACATCTTGAAGATGAGTTTTGCTATTTCAGCCATCACTTGTCAGAAAATTAACTCAAGTAATTTTACCATTTTAAATGAAAGGGCTGAATGTTTTAAAATATTTCTTGAGATTAAAGAGATATTGCTGAAGCAAGTGAGAATTGTGATTATTTATAAAATCAGATATTCTGCAAAATAGCAGTTTTTAAAATCATGCTTTACGAGTATATGACTGTAGGCAAGGTTCATAATTGCATGTTCTTTTTTTTTTAACCACTTGAGGCTGTGCACATTTCTCAATTTGAGCATAATAGGGGTCACATCTTAAAAATACTTTGAAAAGTCACCTCTCAGAAATTGTGCAAAGGTATAAATTCTTTTGCCATTATTAAGTACTCGGTCAGTAAAGATTGTGAAGAGTTTATCTGCAATGACAATGGAAATTTAAATAAGTCCTTTCATAATTAATATGCAAAGTTTTTGTCCAGTAGCTTAAGTGAGGGAACTCTTCAGTCTGAAACTGTGTAGCTAAAATCTACATATCTATAAATACAAAAAAAGCCTACCATCTAATGAATTTTCACATAAACATAACCTTCAGTTTATCTGTTAATTAAAAATGCCAGGTCTTTTCTCTCTCCTTTCTTCCCTCTGTCTGGTTCACCAGCTGTGTAGTTTTGTGTCTGAGCATTCTCTCCCTTAACAGTTTCCTTATTGGAATGCTCTTTAACCTTGTTCTCTTACTTCCGCCTTTGATTTGTGCATGTGAAAATACGTATGTTATTTTTCCCTCTGGGACTAATCAACTATGCTGCATGTTTTTACATACCTTTCAGTTTTCTGCAAAAATGTAGAGAATTTAAATATATACTGAGTAAATAATGTAAATCTGAATCTTGTAATAGGAAGCAGATGCTTAAGACTAATCAACAGTAATCAGATTGAAATAAGCAGTTCATTTTAATTCCATGCTCTCTTTTCTAGAGGATTTACTTCCCTAGAACTCATAGCATTTTCTAAGGAAGTAAGCATTATTCTCTTCATGTTCTGGATGAGGAAACCGAAGCATGCAAAGTGATGACTTAAGATTATTCAGCAATCTAGTAGCGGAATGTAGAGTAACATGCATGTCACCTGAACCTCAGTTTTACACTTCTATGCACAGGGTTGTGTTCAGAGATGATTCCACATAGCTATTTTGGTAGAACATCTAACTTGTGCTTTGTTCCATTAAGCTATTCCAAAAGCTATTGCTTTACTTTTACCTTTTCCTCTTTGTTCAGTGGTGAATCTAGACTCAAAGACTAGAGTCTGTGGGTTTTTTAAAATAACCTCTGCATTTACCAGTTCTTGGTTAGACAGAAGGAACAGACATAGTGGTGTAAGGTATTCTGCAGAACTGGTTCTGTAGGCTGTTCTGTCTTGTCAGAATAGGGATATGTCATTATAGTTAAGCATTGGCAAAAGCTTGATCCAGGAGAAAGAATTTGATGAAATTACTTCTGTTATAAACTTGGAGGAAGCTAATGAATATTCTCGTTCTATTAAGAGACCATTAATGCAGTCTAAGAAAAGGCAAAAGCTGAACTGAATCATTGTCTGTCCAGTGGATTGCTGAAGTCAGTGAGAAGCATAGTATGGAGTGCTTAAAATTATTTTACTAATCTTTGGAGTGCTAAGGGAAAGTATGGTAGTCCCATAGCCTGTGAGATATTTGATACAACTGCGAGCACTTACCTGTGCTGGGTAGTGGAAATGGGGGGGCTGTAAGGGTTTAATCTTGGCAAATCTGTACCTACTCTAAAGTAAACTATGCATAGAGATGGTGGGAAATGTGGCATGTTCTTCAGAGGAGTTGAAAATTGAGAACAGTGGCTAAAGAATTAACTGACTTGCAAAACGTTTTCCCAGAATACACTGTCTTCTGATTCTTGCAGTAGTTCTAATGGTTTAGGAATGTGTAGATAATAAAGAGTCTTTATCTGACTTGTTATCAAATGTCTAATCTACAGATAAAATTATTCTAAGATTTCCTTTAGTAAAGCCAAACAAAATCCTGTTTTCTTTTTTAGGACTTATGGAAAATCCGGAGTCCATGTGGCATCTGTGAAGGTTTTGATGTCCGGACTATGGATGATATGATTAAAGTAAGAAGACTGAAAATAGTTTCAGCACAAGTCTCAGCAAAATAGAACAAAACTCACCTTGGCTTAAAGAAGTGTTTAGTGACTGTTGAAAAGCTTGTATGTTAGGCAGAGCACCATTGTTTTAGCTTTTCGTAAATATGATGGCTATTTAGTTCTTGCGAAACAGTAACTTCTGTGGCATGGGTTTTGGGGTTGTATGTTTCTTTTCATTTGCCAGTCTATTCAGTGCTTTGCACTGTTTTGAACATAATTCTGTTTGTTCAAAAATAATGTTTTCAAAATCTTGTTCTGACCTTGAAACCAAATCAGCTGGGAGTTGTTCATAGATGAATCCTGCTGCCTTTACTAAATGCATTGTATTTTGAAAGTGCCCATTTCTGTTTGACTGCTGAGGACCATAGTCATAGCAATTAGTTCATGTGTGTAGTACATATTTTCCCCTCTGTCTAAGAAGTGCAGTCCTGTCCGCTTGCAGCTTTATTGCTTAAATACTCTGGGTTCAGGACACATAGTTAACTTGAAAACAAGCACTGTTTGCCTTTGGATTGTGTTCAGATAGTTTTATTACTTTCTTTCTTCAGAATTCTCTGAATTTTAGGGAATCCAAGGAAGCAGAACCTCACCCTCTGTGGGAATATCCTTGCAAGTCACTCTCTGACCCCCAGGAAGTTTTGACGTTTGACTTCAGAAAGACTGTACCGCAACACTGTCTCAGCACAGAGGGTTCTGTAAATCTTCTGCGGTGAGTTTTTTCAGTGCAATAAATATTCTTGTTGTAATCCATTTTTTTTACCTGATATTCAGGCTCTTTGTGTGTGTGTGTGTATATAATATATAATGTATAGTTAACTATAATATTTAACTAGTAGGAACATACTTGATAGTTTTTAAAAATGTGGCCTCAAGTTGTGGAAGTTACTCTGACATGAATTTCCTGTGGCTATTCACAATGGGCTATAACAATAAGGGAAACTTCTTAGATAATCATAGAATCATAGAATGCTTTGGGTTGGAAGGGACCTTTAGAGGTCATCTAGCCCAACCCCCCTGCAGTGAGCAGGGACACCTTTAACTAGACCAGGTTGCTCAGAGCCCCATCCAACCTGACCTTGAATGTTGCCAGGGATGGGGCATCTACCACCCCTCTGGGCAACCTGTTCCAGTGCTTCACCACCCTCATTGTAAAAAACTTCCTTCTTATGTCTAGTCTAAATCTATTATTCTTTAGTTTAAATCCATTATTCCTTGTCCTGTCACAACAGGCCTTATTAAAAAGATTCTCCCCATCTTTCCTGTAGGCCCCCTTTAAGTACTGAAAGGCTGCAATAAGGTCTCCCCGCAGCCTTCTCTTCTCTAGGCTGAACAATCCCAACTCTCTCAGCCTGGCCTCATAGGAGAGGTGCTCCAGCCCTCGGAGCTGCGTTTCAAAAATAACATTTTTCTAGATGTTACCATGATTTAAAACTGACACAGGTTAACTTATAGTTTAGAGAAAATAAACTGTTTTCTGGATGTTTTTAATCTTTCTGTTCCCTGTTGCTGAGTTCTTGCAGAAAAAGCTATTTAGCTTTCCAAATTATTCTGTTTAATAGCTTTAAAGTGTACACCATTCTTCCTTTTAAATATAATTCTGACAGTTTTTATATTTGTCACATATCTTTTGACATACTTTTCATTATAATCTAACTACAGATTGTACTTAATTCTGTTCAAACTTGAAATGCTGTTAAGAATTAAAAAATAGGGGAAAGTTATTTTTAACTGTCTGGAGCTTTTATGGCTCAAATGCTGCTGTAATTATGTTTCTCCTTGTGAAACAAAATTCAAGGTTTCACAAAATCCAGAACCATCTGCATGGGGTCTCTGTGCCAGTTGTTGTATTTACAGGCAACATGCCAGCATGACCTCCGCTACTTGTGGAGCAGATGCTTGAAGTGAGATGGGATGTATGGTAAATATTTTCTCAAAATTCAGAAACAATAGAAGCTGGGGTCTCTGAAGGAAGTACTCCCCAAATATGCCGCATAATTGATGCCATGTTATCGAGTGCCTGTTAAATGACTGTGGTTCTGAGCAGATTTAGTTATGACATATTTTCCTCTTCATCTTTTTTTAGATTTCATATCTGCAAATACTTGAAAAGTTGCTACCAATTTACCAAATCATTCAGCTGTTTTTTTCAAGGAAACAAGTTATTCATGCTTTTACAGCTCTCACCTAAACTATGTGAGGAATGGGTGCAGTGTTTAAGCTGTTGGTATTGTATAAAGTAACAGGCTTTGATGCTCTACTTCTCCCCAGGGAAGGAAAGAGCCATGGAGCAGTTCTGTGGATGGACTATCATCTTGCTGCTGATGTCTCTGTTAGTACAGGACTGATGCAAATTTCAAATGAAAAGGTATTCAGTCTAATTTATTATGTCAAAGCTGATAGGATTGCAGTGCTGAAAAATGGGTCTCTGTTGGCCATGCTTGGTTTATGTAGTGCTCTTTGTTACACTGTTTGAATGCTATGTAGACAGAAGTAGTAGAACTATTTGTTCATATTTTTGGGGGGAGCAGGAGATGTACCTTAAAATGGGAGAGTCTGAACTGGATCCAAATGCTCCTGTAGTTTTGAACGACATTCAGAACTTAAATATGATGCTAGCTCAAAGTAGAATTTATTCATACAAATCCCTTTTCTCAGTTTAACAAAAACAAAAAATTTTGAGGGAAAGGAGTAAGTATTTTTGATATTCTATCTAAATGTTCTTTGACCAAATCCATTTTTTCCTTTATGACTTCACTGTGCAGTGTAGCATATGCTATTTCAAGTTATGCATTCATATAATGGAATGGATGGTAATGGCAATGATAACGATGTGATCATTGTATACTGAACTGAGAACAGGAACTCTTGTGCTCTCACTGCATTATTACTGCCTAGTAATAATATTGTAGAGTTTTGACTGCTTTTAC